AAATCATTCAAATTAGGAGAGAGATAATTTATTTGCTAATATTTATATGGCTATCAATCATGCCACATGTGCACCGTGCACATTATAGCATTGGAGATGCTCTAAGTTGTTTGGAATGAAATCATAGGCAATTTCATGCTAAATTTGTGTCAAATCCGTACCAAATTTATGCCAATCTCAATTTTTTTTGTAGTGAATCAAAATTAACAAATCTTAATTGCCAAGTGAAAGTAAAGTTTTAGAGAAGCAAAATTATTTTAGTACAAAGTTATAAACTCATTGTGACGCATCATCACCTATCAACTTTTGTATGGATCATGTAGACAAATAAATGTTTGGAGACAGAGAATGATAAGGCATACAGAATTTGAGATTGCACAGAAGTGTGAGTCGGTGAGATATTGTGAATGTGAGGTAAAGCGTAACGGAATGAAACGAAAAAAGTAGAAAAAAGAATATAACAAAGTCTATATACATACGGTTGATGTATTATTAGGTTTAATCCAAATTTATTATATTGGGCCAAAATTGATGTAATGAGTGTGATTTTTATGTAAATGCCTCATTTGTGGGCCTCTTGACGTATTCCATGTTCACGTAGTTTACTTTGTCCAATCATATAATATTATTTGTGTGATTGAATATTGATTATTAAATCTAATTGAAGATGACCAATTTTATGATCATAATATGAGCCGCTTTATAATCAATGACTTTAAATAAAGTTTGGTGTCAATTTCTTTCCTAAATCAATTTTTAACACATAAAAACTACTCTTAGTTATATCGTATACTCTTATGTCGGTGACTAATGTTTCGCGGGTAACTAAATGTCAATGGTAACTCGATCGGTACAAAAACTGAATTTTTTACACAGAATATTTTATAGGAAAAATTGATAGTAATAATCCCAACTATTGGCGGTCCGCCTATAATAATCCCAACTATCGATTATTTCAGAATAATCCCAACTTTAGGGACCTTTCGCCAATAATGGTCCCTATAAATAAATTGTTGTAGTTTCTAAAGTGGATGAGAAGAGATATAACAAGTAATCCCTATAAATAATCCCAACTTTTAATTTTTACGCTTAATTTCTATTTAAAATTCACTTTTTATAGGAGGTAATTTTTTGTCATGGACCATTATTGGCGGACGGTTCATATAGTTGGGATTATTATTGGCGGACCGACAATAGTTGAGATTATTATTTTCAATTTTTCCTATTTTATAAAGGAATTAGACATTTTTTAAATTTGGGGTGAGTCGGAACCAAGACAAAATTTAAGGGGGCTAAATAATATTCAAACGCCAAGTGGGAAAGACTATAATCTCTACCACTTTTCGGGTATATATATATATATATATATATATATATATATACACATACACAGACATACAATAATTTGACCTAAAATCTAATGCAGGAGAATTGTTTCAATTTTCATGAAGTGACACTTATTTTGACCTATATACAATTCACACACAAGAGCACACATACATACACACACATATACATATCAACTTATTGACATTTATTCGTTTTATACCTGTTTTGTTAGTGCCTAAACAAAATAATAGATTTCATTTATCAAGCGAGTTTATTTCAATTTAATATGCTTGTCTTTTTATTTAAAATATCAAAGGATGAAATTGGAATACATCCAAGTAGTAGAAGAAAAATTAATACGGTAACTTATAAGTTACGGAGTATTAATTTTGTTACTAACTTATAAGTATATACTAGTTTAAGTTACTAACTTATAAGTATATACTAGTTTAAGTTATTAACTTATAAGAGTTTTGTTTTTCTCTTTTCAAATAAACCTAGTAAATTATTTATTTTTTAAAAGGATATTTGTTTTATTTATGCAAATTTAGTACATAAATCTAATTAAACTTATTCAAAAAAGAAAATTTATTGTTTTTTTAAATGAAACTCTTATATTAAGATCAAAACAGTTTTGAGGGCCTGGGATAAACTGAGTTCAATCTCACTCCATTGAGAATTGAACCTGGGACCTCCCATGAGAGAGAGTGAGTCGGCGACCAGCTAGGCTGGACCGTTTCTCAGTCAGATATTTCAACTATCAAGTATTAACAAGAATTTTTTGCATGTTTCTTACTAAATCAAATAATAAATAAATATTTAAGTTAAAAATCAAGTTGCTTTAACAATTTTCTTTATAAACTGATTATGGAATGATATAGGTCAATCTTTGAAGAGGAAATAAATGGTTAAAAGTGAGTTTTAATGCTATTGTATAAAACAAAAAGTGCAAATAGCATGTCAATATTCGAAAAAGTAAAAAAAAAAAAAGATAAATATATTGAATTGAAAAAATAAAAAATTAAAATAAAAGTAAAAGATATGGAGGAAAAATATTAAAATTAGATTTTAATATTTTACTTTAGGCTCCAAGAGTTGTAAGAGTCAAATAGAGGAAATTTAATATGTAGGTATTAACAGTATTATTATTTCACGTTTCAATGTACCACATAATAAAAAAACACATATATAAATAAAATAAAGACTATCTCTTTTAAAATAATCAAACAACATGAATGTAAATTCATTTATCCTTAAAGTGATTTTGTGTTTCTAATCGCTTTTTTATATTTAAACAAATTATTGTGCGAGACTTCCAATATAAAACTATATGGAGATACTGATGTTTTTAGTATATACCAATAATGTGCAAAGTAATTCAATACAACTAACATCATACCATAATAAAAACACTGATGCCAAAAATTCCCATCAATTCATTATTTTTCGATACATAAATACGGTTCATCTAAGTTCTAGTGCTTCCCCACCCAAGTCCCTTGTACATACATTTTTGCCATAGATTTGAATTTTTTTTATCTTTCAATGCCAATTTCTATCACATTTGATGTGCAATATAGAATATTTATTAAATTTGATATTTTGGGAAAAGAATCTAAAACATAAATTTGTCGAGAATAAAAGAGAAACAAAATTATTGGGTGGACCATGTAGGCAAATTAAATAAATGTTTGGAGAAAAAGAAGATAAGACATAAAGAATTTGAGATTGCACAGAAGTGTGAGTCGGTGATGTACTGCGAATGTGAGTTAAAGCGCAGCGGAGTGAAACGAAGAAAGTATAAAAGAGTGTATAACAATGTCTGTATACACAAGGTTGATGTATTATTAGCTAGGTTTAATAAAAAATTATTGTATTGGGCCAAAGTTGTCATGATAAGTTTGATTTTTAGGTAAATGCCTCGTTCGTGGGCCTCTTGACGTATTCCATTCATATGTTTCTCTGGTTTGCTTTGTCAAATCATATGATATTATTTGTGATTGGATATTAGTAAATAAATCTAATTGAAGATCCCCAATTTTATGATCATAATATGAACCATTATCTAAGCAAGGACTTACATTAAAGTTTGGTGTCAATTTCTTCCATATATCAAATTTTAACACATAAAAACTACACTTTCTTATATCGTATACTCATATGTCGATGACTCGATGTTTTACGGGTAACTAAATGTCAATGAGTGAAAACATTGATGCAATGGTAACAGGGACAGAGCCAAGGCACTTGATCGGTACAAAGAATAATTTTGAATTTTTTTTTACACAGAATTTTTTATAAATAAATTACACTTTTTTAAATTTTGGGGTGGGTCCGGGTGGGTCGGAAACAGAACAAAATTTGAGGGGGGCTAAAAAAATTCAAACCGCCAGGTCGGAAAGACTATAATCTCTACCGCTTTTTGGGTATATTTATAGTAATTTTATATCAAATCTAATGCAGAAGAATTATTTCCATTTTCGTGAACTGACATTTATTTTGAGCTATATATAATTCACACACAAGAGCATACATACATACACATACATATCAACTTAAATATAGACATTTTTTCATTTTTATACCTGTTTTGGTAGTGCCTAAACAAAATAATAGACTTCGTTTATCAAGCGAGTTTATTTCAATTTCATATGTTTGTCCTTTTTTTTTATAAAATATCAAAGGTTTAAATTGGAATAAACCCAAACAAGTAGTGAAGATAAATTAGTACTCTCTCCATTTCGAATTGTAAGACACTTTACGGTTTACGATGTTTGACCAATGATAAAACAAACATATTCTTGTCTGCACTCAAATTATTTTTTAGAAAAATTAAATTACGTATTCAGAAACTACATTAAAAACTTTACAAAGTCGCAAAAACATAATCAAATTTGATAACAATTTGACATATAAAGTAAGATATTAAGAGTAATTTGTATTGATCAAATGAATAGGAAAAATATCTTACAAGATGAGACTGAGGGAGTATCTTATAAGTTACTAACTTATCAAGAAAATAATAATTTTTTTTCTCTTTTTAAATAAACCTAGTAAGTTATATATTTTTTAAAAGGATATATATTTTATTTATGCAAATTTAGTATATGAAGCTAATTATACTTATTCAAAAAAGAAAATCTAATTATACTCATATAAAGTCCCACCAGGTGTACCCAAAATTTGCGAAACAAATTTTAAGTATATACGTAAAATTGATCACAAATAATAATATATGAGAATATCGAATAGAATATCTAAATATGAATCCTTTGATTCTTCACTTGCAATTTCAAATAAATTGGCTTATTTGAAAAAAGCCTTTGCCTTCGGAAGATTTATATAAGTATATATAATTAAGAATCTGGGCATATATATAGATTTATCTAAGCATGTTGAAGATTTATCAATTTACACTCAAATCTGGGCCACGAGTTTCTCGAGATTAAAGCTTAATGAATTTGGCAGCATTCTTTTTTGAGGAAAATCTAATTCCGAAACATTTTAAGCATGCGGGAACAAGAGTGAAGGTAATCAAATGGCAGAAACCGTTAGTTCAAGGGCGGACCATAGTAGAGATCCAGGGGCAGTGGCCTCTCCAGCAATTTTTTTTAGTATATATATATATATATATAAATAATTTTCACCCTTCCAAAAAATATATTTTTTAAGTTGACGCTTTCCCAAGATAAACTTTTCGGATCCGCCCCTGCTTGAGTTTAAAACTGAATATGAGAGATCGAAGAGGCGAGATGTTGTTTGCTCTGTCTTTCTCGTTGCAAGCTTCATCAAGCGTGGAGGCTGAGCTCCTGGCAGTGGTGATAGCTACGATTTGGTCGATGAATGCTTTCAAGTGGAGTGGAAATGGACTCCTCGATTGCTTGAGCTACATTAAAGATGGTGGTTTTGGTAGATGGTCTAATGCGATTAAGGAAATGACACTCCTCTCAAATAGGAAAGGGGTTTTGTTCAGACAGGTGTGGCGAGAGAGTAATTGGACAGCCCGCTACTTAGCAGCTCATAAACCGGCCCATCTTACACCTTTCTTTGATATGTATCAACTACGTGGGCCGGTCCACAAGGCTTATTACATGGATCTTTTTGGAATCCCTTCTGTTAGATTCAATTTTTAGTTTTTCTGTTTTTATTGGTTACTATCTTTGTATTATATAAGTTGGGTGAGGTCTAGCCCCCTAATTTTTATATACTTTTCTATTTCTCTTATCTGTTGTTTTTCAAGAAGGTACACCTTCTTTAGAGATGTTTTGACATAGTCTCTCTCTTTTTGTACTTTCTTTCCATTTTTAATAAAATTCCGCATATGTTCTCCAACAATTGTCCCACCGATTTTGGGGGTTTGCCTACCGGGTTATAAAAAAAATTAGACATTTCAAATATTAACAAGAAAATTTGGCATATTCGTACTAAATAAAAGAATAAATAAATAGTTACGTTAAAATTCAAGTTGCTTTAAAACTTTCTTAGGAAAATTGTCAAATAGGTCCTCGAACTTTTATAAAAAAGTCAAATAAGTCCTTATCTAGGAGGCCATGTCCGGCTGTCGCGATTTGGGGGGGTTCCCGGTGGATTTTTTTGATGAATTTTTTTGAGCATCTTATTCATCAAGTCTAATTTACTCATACCAAATTTCAGCTAAACCTTCAATCGAGAACGCATTCAAATTAATTCTTGAAGATATCTGTGCAGTTAAATGAGCATTTATCTTCAAGAGGGAATAAATGGTTAAAAGCCAATTTTTAATGGTATTGTATTAAACAAAAAGTGTAAATAGCATGTAAAAAAAAGATAATATGTTGAATTGGAAAAATAAAAATGTAAAATAACACTAAAAGATATGGAGAAAATTTTTTAAAACTAATAAGGCTCCAAAAGAGTTATAAGGATGTTTTTACTTAGATTGTAATTTGCTGGTCTGATCTGGTCTGGTCTGGTAATGTCTGGTCTCTTTGTATTTTTATTAGGGGTGAGCATGGGACGGTACGAGACGGTTATTTCAAAAAACCTGTCACGTCCCAAAGTACGGTTCTTTTAAAAATCAAGAACCGGTACCATCCCACATATATATAGAACTTGTCCCGTTCTGTACCAATTTTTAGTACGGTTCGGTACGGTTCGGTATGGTTCTCCGGTGTTATTTGGTTCCTAAATAATTAACCCCATGAAATATAATTAACCCTATTTACGTAGCATTGTTTATATCATTTAGTATTGTTTTTATTTTAAAGCTAACTTTTAGTGCTGTCTTGTCTTAATAATTGGATTACGCCCAAAGAATATGCAAGATTGCATATTTGTAATATATAGACATACGGTCACTAATATTTATACTCGGTAATATATTATATATAATATATTATTATTATATTATAACACTAGTTTTCGGGACATACGGTCACTAACATTTATACTTGGTAATATATTATGTATAATATATTATTATATTATAAACACTAGTTTTCGGGACAATTCGGGACAGTACGAGACGGTTTGGTTCAATACAATTTCGGGACAGTTCCGGGACGGTTCTCACTAAGAACCGGTACCGTACCATATTATTAAAAAAGCTCGGTACGGTACGGTATTACATTTTTCCGGTTCTTTCGGTTCTGGAACGGTACGAGGTGGTTCTTCGGTACGGAACGGGAATTCCCAGATCCGCGCTCAGCCCTAATTGTTATAACTATTCAAGTCTGATATGGTCTGATCTGGTCTGATTTAGTCTGGAACATATTACCGTCCCAGTAAAAACATCATAAGAGTCCAATAGAGAAAATTTAATACATAGGTATTAACAATATTAATATTTCATATTTCAATGTAACACATAATAAAAACAACACGGGTATTAAAAAATACGGAGTAACAACTATCCCCTTTTTAAGATAATCAAACAACACGAATATAAATTCATTTGTCCTTAATGTGATGTTGTGTTTCTAATCACTTTTATATATTTAAACAAATTACTGTACGAGACTTTCAATACTCCGTATAAAACTATATCGAGATACTGATGTTTTTAGTGTATACCAATATTGTGTCAAAAGTAATTCGATACAACATCACACAATAATGAAAACACTGATACCAAAACGTACTTCCAGTCAATTCATTATTTTTTGATACATAAATATGGTTCATGGGGTTCATCTAAGTTTCAAACACTTCCCCACCCAAGTCCCTTGTACATACATTTGTGCCATATGTTTCAAGCTTATAATCTTTCACTATCAATTTCTTTCACATTTGATGTGCAATATAGAATACTCCGTATATGTTAAATTTGATATTTTGGGGAAAAAATCTAAAACATAAATTTGTCAAAAATAAAAGAGAAAAAAATATATTTTAGTACAAAGTTATAAGCTCGTAGAGACGGAGCATCATCTATATACTTATGTGTGGATCATTTAGGCAAATAAATGTTTGGAGATAAAGAAGGACAAAACATACAGAATTTGTGATTGCACAAAAGTGTGAGTCGATGATATTATTTATGTGATTGGATATTAGTTATTAAATCTAATTGAAGATCACCAATTTTATGATCATAATATGATATAATTTATAAGCAATGACTTTCAATAATGTTTGGTGTCGATTTCTTTCCTATATCAAAATTTAACACATATAACTACTCTTAGTTGTATCATATTCGCATATGTCGATGACTCGATGTTTTACGGCTAACTAAATGTCAATAATTAAAAATATTGATACAATGGTAAAAGGGGGCGGGGCTAGGGCACTCACCGACACAAAAAATATTTTTGAATTGTTTATTACACTGAATTTGTCATAAAAATATTAGACTTTTTTAAAATTTGGGGTGAGTCGGGGTGGGTCGGAACCTGAACAAAATTTGAGGGGGGCTAAAAAAATCAAACCACCAGGTTGGAAAGACTATGGTCTTTACCGCCTTTTGGGTATATTTTCAGTAATTTGATCTAAATCTAATGGAGAAGAATTATTTCAATTTTCATGAAGTGACACTTATTTTGACCTATATACAATTGACACACAATAGCTCACATACATACACATACATATAAGCATCAACTTAATTGTAGTCATTTATTCATTTTTATACCTCTTTTGTTAATACATATGAACGATAGTATATAATAAATTTGATATTTTGGGAAAAGAGCCAAAAGAGCGTATAATGAAAACAACGATGGAGTTACTTACTTCCGAGACGCTGGATGAAAGGATGAATCTTCTATCAAGGGAGACGACACCCTTCACTGTCGATGAACTCTCTCGAATCACTCTTCTTGAACCCTAGGTCTCAACACGAATATGCGGAATATTTGGATTATTATGTTCCGCATGCACTTATTCTCTTTTATTGGAAGCTAGCTTTCTCTACATGGACCCGGGCCTGATAATGCAGCCCATTTTTACCCCTTTATAATTTTCCATTTTATGGTTTCACATGGAAACACATTTAGATTCCCTTACACACAATTTTGGTTCTGAACATTCTGTAATTTTCATCCATTTTAATAAAAAAAAATTGGTAAATGTTACCCGACATTTATCACACCCAACTATGGGTGGTTCTCGGGCGGTTTTTTTTTTTTTTTTGATATTTTGGGAAAAGAATCTAAAACATAAATTTGTCGAGAATAACAGAGAAACCAAATTATTTTAATACAAAGTTGTAAACTCATAGTGAGGTAGCATCATCTATCAACTCATGTGGATCATGTAGGCAAATCAATATTTGGAGATAAAGAAGGATAAGACATACATAATTTGAGATTGCAATGAAGTGTGAGATGGTGAGATACTATGAATGTGAGTTAAAGCGCGGCACAGTGAAACGAAGAAAGTAGAAAAGAGAGTATAACAAAGTCTTACATAGGGTTGAGGTATTATAAGGTTTAAACCAAAATTATTATATTGGGACAACATTGATGTAGTAAGTGTGATTTTTATGTAAATGCCTTATTTGCGGGCGTGTTGATGTATTCCACCCATATGTTCCCCTTGTTTGCTTTTTCAAATCATATGATATTATTTGTGTGATTAGGTATTAGTTATTAATTCTAATTGTAGATAATCCATTTTTGATCATAATATGAACCATTTCATAAGCAATGACTTTAAATAAAGTTTGGTGTCAATTTCTTTCCTATTATCAAACTTCAACACATAAAAACTTCTCTTAGTTATATCATATACTCATATGTCGATGACTCGATGTTTTACAGGTAACTAAATTTCAATGATTAAAAACATCGATACAATGGCAACAGGGGTGGAGTTAGGGCACTCAACCGGTACAGAAAATTGAAATTTTTTTACATTGAATTTTATATTAAAAATTAGACATTTTTAGAATTTGGGGTGGATCAGGGTGGGTCATAATCAGAACAAAAAATGAGGAGGGCTAAAAAAAATTCAAACCCCCGGGTGGGAAGACTATAATCTCTAGAGAGAATTATCTAAATAGGAGTAAAAAAGGTTTTCACCTATATATAATTGAGTGAAAATTATATAGACAAGAGCACACGTACATATACATATAAACATAAATATAGACATTTATTTATTTTTATACATGTTTTGTTTGTGCCTAAACAAAATAATAGACTTTGTTTACCAAGTGAGTTTATTTCAATTTAGTATGCATGTCCTTTTATTTTAAAAAATCAAAGGTTTAAATTGGAATACTGCTAAACAAGTAGAGGAAGATAAATTAATAACTTGTATATACTAGTACAAGTTACCAACTTATCAAGAAAATAATAATATTATTTTTCTCTTTTCAAATAAACCTAGTAAGTTATTTAGTTTTTAAAAGGATATTCTTTTTATTTCTGCAAATTTAGTACATAAATCTAATTATACTTATTCAAAAAAGAAAATCTAATTATACTCATATAAAGTCAGATATTTCAAAATTTAACAAGAAATTTTGGCATATTTTTACTAAATTAATAAATAGTTATGTTAATATTCAATTGCTTTAAAAAATTATTTTATAAACGGCTTATAAAATCATACAGGTCAATGTTTGAAGAGGGAATAAATGGTCAAAAGTCACTTTTTAATTGTATTACACAAAAAGTGTGAATATCATATCAATATTCGAAAAAGTAAAAGTAAAAAAGATAAATATGTTAAATTGGAAAAATAAAATATAAAATAACGCTAAAAGATATGGAGTAAAATATTAAAACTAATAAG